ACATATATATATATATATATATATATATATATATATATATATATATATATATATATATATATATATACATTGAATATAATCGCCTTCACACAGATACATATATAAAATATGAAAGGACGAAAGGAAGGAAATATAATTCAAACGATTCGATGCTCCCTTGATCCGAGATTAATTCGTTGCAATTTACGCCTCGGTCATCCAACGTGTCCACCCACACATACATACATACATATATACATACATACATACATACATATATACATACACACACACACATAAAATTTCATCCTTCTCTCTCGCCCTCCAATCGCCTATAACATCCTTCCGTAACCATTCACCAATCTACCGTTCATACACATACACGTGCACACTAATACACACACACACATACATTTACCTAGCCGCAAATCAATGTTAATCCTTTCCCACCGACATGAATATTCGTACTCGAAACGATTTGCAAGCACGATTGTAAATCGACAACTCTAACTGTTAGAGTTGTATTGCCAACGATATATATATATATATATATATATATATATATATATATTCTATATTTCTATATATATATATGTATATAGAAAAATTATGGGATATATTATTAATATCGTCCCGTCAATCGAGATCCTCTATGACCTTATGTGAATTTGTATCGATGTAAATCCATATGCGTATAATATAAATATTACGTCAATTGGGATATATTGATAGATCAGTGTGAGGTACTTATCTATATTTTTGATAAACGCCAGCGTAAATTTCGCGACTGTATAACTCAATGGTAAATACTCGAGGCTGTTTCGAATGTGTACTCGTGAAAGAGCAGAGAAGTATTTATTGAAGAATAGAGGGGGAAGGAGAGAGACAGCTCGATTGAACGAAAATTTAGATTTTTCGGTGAAGAGAACAAATTAGGTACGCTCTCTCCCTCTCTCTCTCTCTCTCTCTCTCTCTTCCTCTCTCTCTTTGTCTCTCTTTCTCTTGGAAACGTAACAGTGAACAATTAATCGGCTTAATTGAAATTCGAATCTACGTAACAAATAATCCGTGATATCGTTTTACAACGATGTAATGACGCTGCACCGAGATCTGTCAAATTTTTTTATGATCTCTTTTTTGTTACCTCTTTTTTTGTGCTCCTTTGTCTTCTTTTTTACTTTTTTTTTTTTTGTTTTATTATTTCTTTTTTTTTTTAATTCTTTTTTCTTTTTTTTTTTTTTTTTTCATTTTTTCATTTTTTTTCTTGAAGAAAAGAAAAACCCAGAATATCAAATACAATATTGCAGATTATTTGTTTATTTATTTAATTTGTCCTTTTTATCTATGACACGAGATAATTAATTAAAATCTAATCGAAATCTTTTGGAGATGGAAATGAATACGTTGCCCGTTGGATCTGTGCGTATCGTTGCGATCTTTTTAGCCACTATAATAACAACAACAACAACAACAACAACAACAACAACAGCGACAACAAGAAAAAAAAAAAAAAAAGAAAGAGAAAAAACACGAACCCATTATCGTATTCCGTGGTTTGAATAGACCCTTTCATAATCCAAAAGAGATACGAGAAAAAAGATTAAGAAGATGACAATGGAGAAATTGCGGGTATCCCTTCTATGAACTTTATCCAAGTAATACATCGTCCAGGAATATTACGTTTAATCCGTGGAAAAAAGAAAGAGTGGAGAATGAAAAAGGAGGGAGGGGGAGGGGGGAAGGACCGGAGGAGGGTAAAAAAAAAAAAGAAGAAGAAGAAAAGAGATAGAAAAGACAGACGATATGTTCTCGCATAGTGACGAAAGAAATAGTAAGAGACAACAAAGGACTATTTTCAAGGGCTTAACTTATTTAACGAAGCCAGTGATAAGGCGTATTAGTATGAGAAAGATAAAGGGATATAAATATGGCGGAATAAAGAGAGGATGAGAAAAAAGAAAACGAAAAAAAAAAAACAAAAATGAGCGAAAGGAACAATAACAACGAGAAAATCTATGTCATTCAAGAGAAATGAATTTAGGTGGATGAGTTCTCGTACGAGCGATGAAACTATTTTCCTTCCTTTTTTCCTTCCTTCTTTCTTTTTTCTTATTTATTTATATTTATTTAATTCTTTGTTCTTTTTTTCTTTTTTCTTTTTTTTTGTGTGTATTTCTTCCCCCACTCCTACGTTCCTCCCTGCGTTATAAATTCTTTCGGCAACTACTCGTCGAAAGGAGAAGTTTTTTTTTTTCGAGAGAGAGAGATATGTGTGTTAGAAAGGGAAGTGGGATACGGGTGGGGAGAAAAAGAAATAAGAAAAAAAAACACAGAGAGAGAGAGAGAGAGAGAGAGAGAGAGAGAGAGAGAGAGAGAGAGAGAGTGAATAAAAGATAAATGAAAGAAAAAAAAAAAAAAGGAGAAGGAAAAAATCGCTTATCGATTCGAAATAACGGAAAAGGAAAGGACGGAAATAAAAGTGAGTTCACCTTTAATAATTCGCGAGTGAACATCGAAGGTGTACGTGTTGGTGGGTAGAAGTTTTAGGGGATACTCGGGGGTATGGGGGTGTGTACAGGATGAATGCAAATCGCACGGCGTACGGTGTGACGTCGCATGAATATTCGCGACTCGCCGCAGGCACAATTTACGATCCATCACGGATAAGATCCGTATCTTTGCGGATGTGTACGAAACATATATACCCCGCCATGTCTATTCCGTTGGAAAATTTGGAAAATTTGTGTATATTGCCAAACCTTCTATCTCTTTCTCTCTCTCTCTCTCTCTCTCTCTCTCTCTCTCTCTTTCTCTCTCTCTCACTTTCTCTCTGTCTCTCCCTATCTATCCATCTCTCTCGTTTTCTTTTCCCCCTTGTTTTCCAACGACACGAATAATTTAATTCAACAGATTCTCCCGAAAAGATTTTCTACTTTTTTTCTTCTTTTTTTTTTTTTTTTTTTTTTTTTTTTTTCTTGTAAGTAACTCAAATATTCCGAGTATCGTCGAAACAAAAAGTAAAGAGAATTAATGTTGAAAATTTTTAACCAAAGGAAAAAAAGAAAAAAAAAAAAAGGAAGAAAAAAAGGACAAAGAAACGAAACGAAACGAAGAAGAACATCGTGAAAAAGAAATGAATTTTAATAATTGTCGAAATAAGAATAATTGTAATGACTCGATAAATAATTTCTAGATAATAAAAATCATTGAAAAGCTTTTCGTGTCGTACGTAAGCAAATCCCTTCGACCTAATATTTCGACTATACATTTCTCTCGGCTTGTCGTTTCTCCTCTTTTCCTCTCTTCCTCTCTTCCACTCTTTTATCTACGACGATCCATCTTCCTTCGGTGAACACGAATAACGAAACCGTAGTCGCGTTAGATCGAACTCAACAAATCGTTTAAGAAAAATTAAAGTTTAATCGAAACTGGAGCATTACCATTAACGCGATAAACTTCGTTTATCGGATTAATCGAGTAAAGACAAATATCTCTCTCCGCTCTCTCGGTTTCTCTTTGATGAGAAAAAAAAAAAAAAAATAAATATTTTAAATTATTTTAATTTTATCGTAGATACTATTGGTATATATGTACGTAAGGATCATTGACATGGAAATTATGAAATTATTCCTGAAATTATATCTTTGTTCATTTGAATATCTAATTAAATCCATTATAACGTTTAACGAAGAAAATTTATATTTCGAAAATTGTACTGAAATTTTTAATAAAAATAAGAAAATTAATCGGTTAGACGATTTTAAATCGTTGGATAATTGTGAACGAGGAGACGATTATATGAACTTCGTAAATGGCATACTTTCGGAGTAGAGACAGAGAGACAGAGAGAGAGAGAGAAAGAGAGAAAGAGAGAAAGATAGAGATAACAATACGAACACCGGGGAACATAACGAGACGATGATTATACGCTCCGTACGTTCCGCGACAAATCGTCGCTAATGCGAGACAATTTGCATTAGCAATTACTCGATAGGACGAGCAGTATGTAACTACATCCGTTTAGTTATGCGGACTCCGCAAAATTAGGATAATAAAGAAGAATGTTATATACATACGTATACATCGTATAATACTTGGTAATACGATCTGCCTGGAATTCTATTGTTCGTCGAGTAGAATTTCATAACGAACCGATTGAAATCACTCTATTTCATTGTAAAATTAACCCCCTTCGTACGTCCTTCGATAGAGATTAGAAATTTTGCGATTGGATAGAGCGCGATTTGAAGGAACAAAAATTGAAAGAAAAAAAAAAAGAAGCAGAGAAGAACAGCATTCGTAATAACAACAGCTCCAAGAATAATAATAAAAAAAAAAAAATATTATAACAATAATAATAATGTCGGAAAAAAAAATGTTCTCCTCGTTATTATATGTTGATTTTGTTACGCTTGAATGTCTCAAATTGTAATAACATTAACATTGTATGTACAAGCGAAACAAGTAATTTAATGAGAACAATCAATGAGTAATATTCTATTTAATAGGTTAAAGAGATATGAAGTATACGTATAAACAAATAATCGAACGATGAAACCTTAGCGTTATACGATATATCGATCTCTCATGAATGATTCAACGTAGCCAAACGAACGTTATTCTCGTGACCGTGTGGTGTGCAAACAAGAATTTCAAACATCATTCCGAAGGGTAAATGTTTTATAGAATAAATTATGAAGATTTTCATCTGATTGACCGTACAAATCGAATAATGACGTTTTACGAAAGGGACCGATGGTTGATTTCCTAGAATCGATTCATCATCGATTGATACATAATATATACTAACTTGATTTATTTTTACAATCTATCCATCCCTCTCCCTATCAATTTTTTTCCACTCTCTATTCTCCGATGATTAAACGTGCATAAATTCGAATGTATATACATGTGTTGTTTTAATGCAATTTGTCTTTTTTTTTTTTTTTGTTTTTTTTTTGTTTTTTTTTTTGGTTTTTTTTTTCTTTTTTTTTTTTTTTTTTATTATTCTTATGTTACAG